TTAATAGCTGCTCTAATTTTGCAGAATGAATGAAAGAGTGAGGTTACTTAGAAATTCATCATATTGTGCTTAGAGAAGTGATATTTGGACACTGCCAGAAGATACTTTTATAAGAGACTCCATTTTACTATGCCATTGTATATAACGGAACTTTAGCTTCCATGGAGTTTGCTAACCACAGAACCAAACCATCCACAGCTTACACACACACACACACACACACATACACACATGTGCCCACTGTATTTTTTTTCTTCCCCCCCCCCCCTTTTTTTTTCTCAGAAGTTATCATTTCTGTTTAGTAGTATAGAGAAGTTTCAATTCAATTTGGTGCTATATTCTTGATTTTGGAGGGTAGGAAGTCACTACTGCTGATTGTTTCTTTTTATGTGTGTGTGTTGGGGTGGGGGCACATATGTGTAATATGTAGTCATATGTAGTGTATGATTTTTATGTTTTTGTTATTTAATTTATATACTAATAAGATTTATCCTAAAAAAAAGACAAAAGAAGACGGTGGTTTCTGTAAATTTTGCATATGCTAATTTCTATCCATGGTTGCATATTTAGAAATTGCTTTAAATTAAATCCAAATCCAAACATTGCATCAATGTGGGGAAGACAGGATTATGCCCAGTTACTAATTGCTGATGCCCATCCTCAAAGCCTGATCCCACTCTCCATTCCTGTAGTTCTTTATATTTACACTGAACTTGGATGGGACAGCCCTTCAAAACAGAACATGACTTCAGATACAGAATGGTCATCTAACAACCTCTCTAGAAGTCAGCTCTCTATAACTTGAGCACATACATAGTCATCTTAATTAAGGCCCAGACAGCTGTTGTTCCTAGACACTTTCTTTGGCTCAAATTGGGTGTCAAGATATTTATGACCATCTTGAAGAGACTTCTACTTCCATCAAGCATTACCTCAAGGAAAGAACTCTCTTGCTGTAGTTGGTGAACTAATCCCACACAGGCAGGAGGAAAAACACTAGGTAGAAAACATTTTGCACAGTAGCTAAGCAACCCCCCTGCAGCTCTGGAAACTTCACAATAGGAAGTGAGGCCATATGTAGTAGTTCCTAAGAAGCAGTTGCTAAGGAACCTTGATGGTTGCTTAGCTAGCATTCTAACTGGTTGTCTGTTGTTATTTTTGTTAAGTGATTCCCCCCACCTCCATTATTGATTATAAGTTCAAATTATTGCAATAACTTTCAGCTAATGTTCATAGTTCCCTTGCTATGGAACCTGGAAATGGAATGGCAGTTCTAGAAAGGGGACACCTATATTGACAAATAGATATTGTTGGATGCCAGTAGTTTAATCCATTACTTCTACAGATGAACAAATCTGCCAGTTTGCTTTCACCTATGTTTTTTTTTTAAACACTGTGTAGAAAAAGGCAAAAAAAAAATTAGATGTGGATTTCTCCAACATGGAAAGGACCATGTGGATGTCCCCAGCATGAGAAGACACCTATCTGCCATGTAATTGTTAAAGATGAGGAACCTGTAAGAAAAAAAAATGCGGTGGAAATCTTAATTCAGTACTTGTACACATGACTAAATATACAGAAATTTGAAATCAGACTTGTTAAAACCCAAGGTTTTCTGCCTAAATAGACAAAATGGTTGTTTTTGATTTCTTCCACATTCATACTTTTTAAACCTTATGTTCTTTCCACTGAATTTAAGGTGAAATTTGCAATTCCCATTAAAAATTAACTGAATAAAATTCATATCTGTCCATAGTTTCTTGTATGATGATGAGCTTTATACTCTACAAACTATCTGTTCTTAAAAATAACTTCCTCTACACGCCTCCACCCCTTGGCAACAGGATTGATTGCTGTGCTGAGAACATTTCATTTTTATTTTTAAAAAGAAAGAGGAGAGCAAATTTCCATTTGCTCTGTTTCTGTTGCACTCTTCCACCACTGTGGCATACAATGGGCTCATCTTAATTTGAGCCGGCAAAATGTTCAGAATAGTACCAGAGCAGGTATTTCTAAACCATTTTCTTGGCCAGAGACAGTCCATTTGATTGGGTTGGATTCAGTGGTAGCTGTTCTATGCTCCAGTCAGCAAATGTCCCAGGGATTAGGTGGCTAGAATGCAAGAACTCTCTAGTACTTACTTCAATCCAGGTCAATCACAAAGTATCCAGCAGGATGAAAGGAGAAGCAAGAGAGTGGTCATCAGCCAGTCTAGGATTCATTCAACAAGTCTGTAGTCCAGTTAAACAAAGCCAGGAAGAAGTAAAACAGAATTGTAAGGGAGCCAGTCCAAGGTCAAGAAAACATGAATGTCAAGAGTACTGTCAGTCACTCGGATAAGACAGTTGTGAATAACAGAGATGCTGGGCAGCTGCTGGGGGATTTATGGGCAGCTGTCTCCAAAACAGATGTCTAATTAGGTCAACATCTCTTACTTAACTAAGGCTGGGAATGACACAATATCTCTTTGTCTTTTTGTCACTTCACAAATGATGGCAATGGGTCTTCATTTTCAGCAGAGTCCTGCTGGGGAAAAGGGTCCCCCTCTGCCTCAGACTTGGTTCTACAGACTCAGAAAGACCCTTGTAATTAGGAGCTGCAGATTCCTGGCCATCTGCATCTTCTTCTCAATTGGAATCCTCCAACTCCAGAGGGTGAGTCAAGATTAAAGTTGGGCAATCCACTATGGGTGTTAGTGTGGATTTGTTAGTGTGGATTTTAAAGGACCAATCCAAGGCACTGAACATCTACCGGGGGGGGGGGGGGGGGGGGGGGGGGGATCAAGTTCAGCACCTTGGATAGATTGTCTTGAGTCCTTGCAACTCAAGAGCAGAGTCACTTTAAATTGTGTGTGTGTGTAGGTAGGTAGGTAGGTGGGGGTGTACAGTCTTTCTTATTCTGTCACCTGCAGGCCTGGCAATGATGTCTTCTTGACAGTCATGGATAGACAATATTGCTAGATCAATCAATGACCTAACTTGGTATAGGCCAGCTTCCAGTGTTCATAAAGCAGTCTTTAACATTAGTTAGGACTAATGGCCTTAGGTTTGCCATTGGTCAGAAATGAGTTGAAGATACACCACTACCACAACAAAAGGCAGACTCAGTTCATGCTTTTCCACACAGGTCAGATCTATCAAAACCACTGATCCACACCAGGCCAGTCATCACAAAAATTTCTCCTTTCCTAATTTGTCCTTGGATTGACTGATTGACGTTGCTTCCTCTATTCCTCCTGGAGGATTGTTGTCATGCCTGGTGCCACTTGTCAGTCTTTCCAAGCTGCACATTTCAATCTGCAATTCCTTAGATGGCTCTGACCCTTGCTCATCTGAGAACCAGGATATAAATAACTATGCAGGAAATGAAAGTGCTGATTGAGATTTAAATAACATTTACATAAAATTTTGCCTCGAGTACTAATTAATTAAGCTCTGATCAGCACACCTTGATGGGGCTTGTCTGATCACACAACAACTGGGTTGGGGGTGGAAATTATTAGGAGCATCTTTCAAGGTTTTTCCTGTAGAGTAGCCAGAGTTTTGAAAGGTTACTTCTTTGGACAACAACTCCAGCTTCAAAAAAGTGGATACTTTTTGGTAGATTCTGGGAACTGTAGTTCAAAAATCAAAATTTTCCAAGCTCTGTGCAAAGAAGCCAAGATAAAAAGAGAATGTGCTTCAAGTGCAAATCCAGTTAGCAGGGTTTGTTCCTTTTAATTCAATGTCTGTACAGTGCCTACAGTTTGAGGTGCCTCATAAATAGTAATAAATTACTGTTCTTACTCACAGCTCCCACCAGGTATAAGAACATTCTTGCTAAAGCAAAGGTTTGCAAACTGAAAGAGTGAGCAGGTGGAACTTTGCAGTTCCACAGCTATGAGGTGAAAAGAAGCCCCTGTGGTCCAGTAGAAGTAGTGAGACCTGGGATTGTATGTGGGGGCCTTTATAGACTGCCAGAAATAATGCAGCTTGAGTCCACTTTAACTGCCCTGGCTCAGTGCTAGGGAATCATGGGAGCTGTAGTTTTTTCTGAGACATTGAGCCTTCTCTCTTAGAGAGCTCTGGTGATAGATGAATCTTCATATCAAGCTGTCAAAAAAAAAAAAAATCCAGATTAGTCCCAAAACCCATAGTACAGCATGCCAAAGGGTAAATGATGTGTGTGAGAGCATGTAAGAGAGAGGGGGAGAGTCTGTATGGTGTAGTGGTTTGAGCATTACTGGACTATTACTCTGGAGACCAGGGTTCATATTCCCACTCAGACACAAAAACTCACTGGGTGGCTTTGGGTAATTCTCTCTCTCAGACTCAGAGGGAGGCAAAAGCAAACCCCTATCTTTGCTCCTGTATTGGGAGAAAGGTGGGATATAAATTAAATCATATAGAGAGGAGTGGTGTTGACATTAAACTTCCAAGTGTAGATCCATTCTTTGTGGCTATTTTTATAGGTGCACCTAAAGAATAATAAACTGAAAAAATATAGAGTCTGTTTGCTGTCCTGCTCTCCTGTGAGTCTGCCATCCTGCTCCTCAATGGAATCCCTGTTTTGTGGCTTGCTTTTAATTCCCACCATGCATTCTTTCAATTTCACAGTCCATCCACCCACTTCTGAAATAACAAGGATGGTTTCTAGTCATGATAAAATCTCTGTATGATAACACAAGACAGCATGTGTGGGGAGGGCACAAGGCAGAGGTTATATGATGGTGGGGAAGTGAAAGATACTGGCAACCAAACTTATTTCCTAAGCTAGTAGGGCATCAAAACATCAGATTAGGGTGCTTCCACATTTCAGCTATCTGTAGGAATTGTGATGCTTTGCAGGTGATTGGCACATTGATTTCAATTCATTCCCAAGCCAGGCACAAACCATGGTACTTGTCTGAGTGCTACAGGAACATTTGTACTTGCAAAATTAGTATGGAGATGCAGAAAACACTGCTGCACAAAAAAACAAAAAAACAAAAAAAAACTTAGAGATATTTGCTCTAAATCCTTTGGTACTTGCATTAATGCAGTAGTTACTGAGCATTTACTGTTCCTCTTCCCATTTAGTTCTACTCTCCCTGGTTACTGCCTGCAATACAACTGGGAAGTTGTAATTTTACTTTAAGGCAAGAAAGGAAAGGTATCCAGACCCTGACCTCCAATGAGGCAAAGCAAGGTAGCTGCTTCAAATAACAGATACCACAAGAGAAAGGCAGTGACAGCAGTTTGTGTGTGCCCCAAGTGCAGGTCAGAGCAGTGCATGTCACATATTTCCATCAGTTCACAACTGAAAATCAGGACACATGTTATCAACAAACCTCAACTGGGCAAAAGTTATTACTGAGGAAGGACACACAAGTAAGGAGAGGCTACAGCAGTTTGCTTATGCTGAGGCAAGATTCTATCCTTTCCCTCCTCTCCCCTCTGCTGAGTTGAGTGCAAACTGCTTTTGCATTTTAAACACAGTTTGCAACAATTAGACTATAGTTTTTGTGGGTTTTTTGGGCTGTGTGGCCATGTTCTAGAAGAGTTTCTTTCTGACGTTTTGCCAGCATCTGTGGCTAACATCTTCAGAGAACATGGCCACACAGCCTGAAAAACCCATAAAAACTATGGATGCCAGCCATGAAAGCCTTCAAATTAGACTATAACTTGAGAACAAAGGGGGAAAGTCAGAGTAGGAATGAAAAACTGGGACATTTTAAAAGCAGCTCAGAATATAGGACAGCCGACGATTAACCAGGACTGTCCCTGCCAAATTAGGACAGTTGGAGGATATGATGTCTTGTCTTGTTCTGAACCCTGAAACTAGGCTGTTGCCTCTTTGTGGTGGTGGATACCATCCAGGCAATGGTCAGTCTATATGTGGACTTTTTTTTTTTTTTTTTACAAAAAATTGTTTATACTTTGGTTTGAGCTTCTACATGCATTCTCTGCTGCATGATGGTGTGAGCTCCTGTCACTAGTCCCAGCTTCTGCCAACCTAGCAGTTTGAAAGCATACAAATACAAGTAGAGAACTAGGTAACACTTCTCAGTGTGAAGGTAAACAGCATTCAGTAAGTCATGCTGGTCACCTGATCACAGAGTTGTCTCTGAAAACGCTGGCTCTTTGACTTAATAGTGGAGATGAGCACTGCCCCTACGGTCGGGTACAGCTTGACAACTTTGTGGGGAATACTTTTACCTTTTTTAGCTTCTGTACATGGAATGAGGAAGAAGAACCAAGTTGCCTTTTGCTTCAGGGGGAAAGTATTTGGGTGTGAACCTGGTTCCTGTGTATTTTTCCCTGAGTCCTTTTTTTCATCCTCCCTTGGTTGTAGTAGGCCAAATAACAATGTTTGTTGTTTTCTGCAGCTGGTGAGAGAGAAGGGTGCATGAAAAAAACAGGATGCATGGACTACAGTGACAGCATTATGATTCCATTTTAATTGCCATGGCATGTTGGTGTGTTTTCAACCCAAAGTCTAGATGCTGAAGCATGTGCAGCAAGAACACACACCACAGAAGGCTCTCCTATACAGTTCAGTGCAGGCTGGAGAACTCCTTCTCCCACACACAGAAGCTGCAGACATGACAGGATGCTGAGTACTCACAAGGAGGCTTTTAATCTTCGTTTCAATATTTGCAATATCTCACATTGACTGACAAAATGCTCCTCTCACTATATACATCAACACCACTACACAAGGTATTGGAGCTCCTCCCTTATATACACATTCATTGCTGGAGCTTCTAGTCCAACCCCTTACTGGTGTGCAACACAGTTTCCTGCTCCCCATGTGGCATGATTTTGCAGTATTGAAGCCTGGTGATGCCATGTCCTGCCTGTGTGTCATCATCTTGCTGTGACACAGCACCCTTCCAACTGCTTGCTCATCGTGGCTGCCACATGACCTTTTGCCTTTGTCTCATATTGCTTCATCTAAGACATTTTCCTCTGGTTGCATTCATCCTGACATGGTAACATCCTATAGAATCCTGGGATTTGTAGTTTAGGGAGAGGTTATTTAGAATTCTCATCCAGAAAGCTTCTCTAGTGCTTCATCAAACTACAAAACTCAAGATACCATAGGATACAGTCAGGACAGTTAAAAATGGAATCATAGCACTATAACTATGTTGTACGAATAGACCAGCGAGCCAGCATGGTGTAATGGTTTGAACATTGGACTATGACTCTAGAAACCAGGGTTTGAATCACTGCTCAGTCATGGAAACCCACTCAAGTCACACACTCAAGATCAGGGAAAGGCAAACCCCCTCTGAACAAATTTTGCCAAGAAAATATCATGATAGGTTTGCCTTACGGTCACCATAAGCTGGAAATTATTTGAAGGCACACAACATCAATAACTAGAAGGGCCCCTGGTTAGGAATGGGCAGGAACAATTGTAGCGACTTTCTCTTTAAGATAAAGCAAAGCAGCTTATTTATATACCGCTTCATATCACGCTATGGGATGTCTAAGCGGTTTACAACTGTGAGCTGATTGCCCCCCAACAAGCTGGGTACTCATTTTAGCGACCTCGGAAAGATGCAGGCCTGAGTCGAGCCTCAGCCCTGGCTGGTATTGAACTCGCAACCTTGTGGTCTATGAGTGAGTGGCTGCAGTACAGGCATTTAATCACTGCGCCACCAGGGCTGATGTGCATTTCAAAGTCAACATTTTAAGTCAATGTACTACACCCATCTGGAAATCTGTGCCTAGAATTCTGATGCTTAGTCCCAACTAAAAAATCACCCATTTAATCAATTGTTGAATGATGAATCAATAGGTAAATCCAATTTACTCAATGTTTCTATTCTAGTCATGACTAACAATAATATTTAAACCTGTCTTCTGGGAGACAGTATGTATGCAGTAGTGTAGCAAGTACTCATATTATCATTTGGTAGCAACTTTTGAAGCGAGCTTCCCACTTGCTTTTTGAGACTATCATTCAAAGGATTCTGGCAGAATGTTAGTTAATTAAACACAAGGATGCAGCACTCCATTTGACAGCAGCAATCTATGCATTATACCCACATTAAATAGTCCATTTGCTGTTAAGGCACTGTGAATAGAACATACAAAAGACCAATGGAATTTGCTGCATGACCTTGTGCTTTCTGTCCATTCCACATCTCTTAAAGATTGACCCAAAATTTGGACTTTTGGAGCAAGTAAATGATTCTACTGAAAGCATTGTGTTGTCTTTTTGTAATTTTAGGATGACATTTTATCCATCCATTCATCTATTCGTTCCTTCAACCTATATCCTTGTCTTTTTGGCACTAAAGAGAGCATATCGTAAATGAGTACAAATAGACCAAATGAATAAAAGCATAATACAGTGTAAAAGCCCACTAGTAAAAGAAAGGGAGAAAGAATATTGGCCCAATTTAAAGCCTCATCTGCAGCAATTAAGGCTCACTGTTGAAGACTTGTTTGAATAAAAAGATCTTTGCTTTCTGTTGGAAGTAGGGACAGAGGAAAACTGAACTACGCTTCCTATAGAAGTAGCATCAGAGTCAGAAGTGGGAGGGTCATACTAAGTAGTCCCTGCTACCATTTTATTCCATATAACACTAGAGCCAGTGACTACTGTATTGCCACCAATTTCTGGTAGCTACATGGTGGCTGTCCCCATGTTCCTCCTTTTTTATGGGAATAAAAAAGAATATCAGGTCATGGGATTCATGGGCAGTTGCTAAGGCCCTGGCACCACAAAGAAGCCCATTTCTCATGTTTGCCCTGTGCTGCCCTTTCGAAAAGGGTCTGGATCCAAAATGTGTTGCCATTTTAGCTTTCTGGAATAGCTGCCAGGTTTTAAAAAAAAATAGACGTGTCTCTACAGAAGAATGGCTCCATTTAACTAAGGAACAATCTAGAACAAGAGTATAACTGCTTCAAGCTGGACATGCTGTCACCAGCTACAGCTATAGTAATATCCAATTAAGCTTTACATCTCATCTGTCCTGATACTTTTAATTCTTTAACAATAGAATATGTTTCCCATTAACAACAGTCTTTGAAATGAGATCTAGGTAGACTGACTATATTGAATCATAACCTGGCCATTGGGTTATTTTTTGCTGTCTCTCTCTGGCTGGTTTACAAAGGGTAGATCTTTTGTTCAATTTGGATGGACGGAGAGATATCTTGTCCTTAGTCCTTAGTTCAGTCCTTCGTGTTAACTGTAGATGTCTGCAGTTTATAGTAAAATCCTCTTGGGTTGTCTCAGCAACATAGGTTCTGGATGACAGTTTCTGTTCTGTTGGATCTAGAGTCTTTCAGTTCTTCTCAATGTCTCATTTAATCAGAACAGCATCTCCTGGTTCTACATCTGGCAGTACTTTGGTAGAATAGTGACAATTGTATAATAATAATAATAATAATAATAATAATAATAATAATAGAAGTGCCTGATTTAAACCTTTTCAGAGTGTTTTGCCATTTCTAGAATCCTTTGCCGAGAGCTGCATCTACATGCAGAATTAATAGTTTGGCACCACTTTAACTGCCATGCCTCAATGCTCAATGGAATTCAGGGATGTGTAGTATTTTGACATGTTAGGCTTCTCTGTCACAGAGAACACTGGTGCCCCAACAAACTACAAATTCTAAGATTCCATAGGATGGAGCCATGCCAGTTAAAGCAGTGCCACCCTGGATTAATTCTGCAGTGTGACAGCAGGCCAAGGTTCCACTCAGTATTCTTTTTATCTCCAGAATCACAGCTTTCTGCCATGTTATACAGGCCTCTCACTAAGGATCCCACTGACTCTCCAAGTCTTTCAACTCTCTGGTGGAAACAGACCCTCTCATAAACTACACAACATATGGGGGTAAAATACTGATCAAACTTTACCCAAACCTTTCCATAATCATTCTTATCATTATTCATGGTAAATGTAAAGGACATTAAGGTTTCTTTCCCAGTAGCATAGGTGAGAGAACTTCTCCATTCTTTCTGTGGATTTCTTGAAGCTATATAGAAATAAGCAACTCTTTGCAGTCAGACCATTCTGCAGGGTGGGGATGTCTGTTGTGGGGTGGAAAATTACCACTGCAAATAATTCTTTGAAGATGGAGGATATTTTAGACAGAAGCCAGACCAGGATGTCTCCCATACCCTACAACTGCCCTGATTTGGCAGAGACAGTTTTTCAACCGCTTTAAAAATGTCTCAGTTTCTCTCTCCTATTTCCACTTTCCCCTTTGTCATCAGCTCACTTCAATTTTTGCAAAGTGCAAAGTGGTGGAGGGAGGGAGGAGAGGATGGAGTAGAACTTTGCCCTTCCCAGTAGGTTCAGGGAAGATCAAATGGATATAGCCTCTTTGAGCTTATGTTTTTTTCCTCATTGCCATCTTGCCCACACTCTGATGTTGCTTGACCACATGTAGCCTGGTTTTCACCTGTGAAATGTTGGAGGGCATGGTCTTTCCTAAAGACAAGCTGTAATTAACTAACAATCTAGAAAAAGAGTATAAGTAACTGCTTTAACCTGGATACAGAATCACCTACAGCTCACTAGTAATACTGTAATTAAGCTCAACATCAAAATAGCCTTCCTCAACCAGGGATGCATCTACAGTCTACACTGTAGAAATAATGCATCCTGACACCATTTTAAGTGCTGTAGCTGCATCCTATGGAATCCTCAGATTTGTAGTTTTACAAATTTGAAAATTTGTGTCTGCCAAAGAGTGATGATGCTTCACAAAACTACAAATCCCAAGTTTCTATAGGATGGAACTGTGGCAGTTAAAGTGATGTCAAAGTGCATTATTTCTACAGTGTAGATGCACCTTAACATCCAGTAGATGAATCAGACCAAAGTTTTCATTATAACTAGCCAAGGAAGAGTGGGAGCTGTAGTCCATTGTGTCTAGATGTTACCAGAATGGGGAAAGGCTGTACTACATAGCTCTACTACAAGGGTGTTGTGCTTGGTTTACATACCTTCAAGTTAATTAAATGGATCATGACCCTATGCATCAGCCATTTCCAAAAGATCTTATTGTTTACCTCCCCTCTAATAGAGTCCTACAATGGGGGCAATTAAGATTCAGATCCACATTTGTGGTGCTAACACTATGTAAGCTAGAGGGGTCCCACTGACTAGCCTCAATAGCCAAGGCAGAATTTGTGGTGGCCAAGCCCTTGCCTCAGCCCCTGCAACGGCTTTCAGTTTTGCATTCTGCAAAAAGGGGCACAAAATTCAGGTGTCCTATGTTTATAATCATCCTTTGTTTTCTGCTGGTTAGTTTCTTTTAATATCAATTATCATGTCTATACTGCCTATATTCTATTATTTTTGTTTCTCCAATCTGTCTTTTCCTTCATTTATTACTCTTTCATCTTGTCTTCTTGCTATTTTGCTCATTCTTTGAAGTTAAATCCTTTAAAGACAGAATATCTTCTCTTTTCTTTCTTGTTCCTCATGTTTCTTTTACTTTTGCTGATGCAAGGAATTTCTCCTTCTCCTCCAGCTATAGAACTTCATGTCATTTTTGATCCTTCTCTTTCCCCCCCCTCCCGCCTTCTCAACTTCATCATTAGTTAAATCCTGTCATTTTCAGTTGTCAAATATTGCTAAAATGCATCCTATACTTTCTGTAGTTTCTGCCCATGCTTTGGCTTGTTCTTTTATTTAGCTCTGATTGGATTATTTATACCAATGCTCATTTTAGTTGTTTTCCATAATCCCACCTGCTTCTGTTTTGCATTTTGCTGTCCACCTTTTATTCCTGTATGCAAATATTATTATTACCTTGTACACCAAATACAAGTTTTGGTTAGGACCCAAATTCATTGATTTAGAAAGAAACCCAATTTAAACTGAACCATGTCTGAGAAGGGTTGCAGACTGCTAGAAATAGTGCAAATTGAGTCCACTTTTAGGGTTAGGGTTAGGGTTAGGGAATCATGGGAACTGTATTTTATTGTGGCACCAGAGCTCTCTGACAGAGAAGGCTCAATGTCTCAGAAAAAAAAATTCCCATGATTCCCTGGCACTAACCCTAACCCTAAAAGTGGACTCAATTTGCACTATTTCTGGCAGTCTGCAACCCCCCTGAATCTGCCAGATTCAACACAGGTCCAAATACAAAAATCAGTTTAGAAATCCAAATCATTATGTTTTCCATCAACCATCTTTAGACATTAACAAAAGAATGTAACTTTATTTCTATTTTTTAGTTTGCTCTAAAGTAGAGGGCATTGCC